CCTCAAGAATCTGGACTGCACCAGCTGCATCCACCAGGTGCCTTCAGCTTTTGGTGCCGCTGGGATTGAAAAGTGCTAAACAAAGGTTGTCTGAGCAGGGGGGAAGACTGTCCTCATGGGGGAAACATGTCTCTGTGTTCCTGGGAAGCTGTGTTTGTGCTCTGTGATGATCTGTAAAAGGGGGAAAAATATCTTGAAAGCTAAATTTGGAGCCATTCATAGCTTGGAAAGTCTCTAGCAAATGGAGAAATGGAGATCTGATGGTGGTAGTGTCCCAAAAAGCTAATGTCAGAGGAAGTTGGTCAAAAAGACTGGGTATTTTAATTAAGGTATACTCCAAGAGTGCTTGCATTGGACCTCTTTTTTGGAACTTTTTCAGTCTAACCAATTTACCTGATGCTTCCAACAGCAGCAAACTATCCAGCTTCTAATTAAAGAATCTTTGCTTTATGAAGGGAAATCCCCACAAAGATTAGATAAAGCAGCATACTCCTCTTGTCCAGCCTTGCCCACAGAGGTATTCAGTTACTTGTTTCTTATCCGAGTTCACCATGAAACTATGCCCCCTTGCTACTTCTTTGCACTACTGGATCTTCCCTTGTTAGCTTCCTGCCATCACAGCATCTGGTATCCAGGACAGTGGACAACATGGCTTCGTTCAAAGCTCCCCGCTGATGCTAGCTAGAGTATGCATTTAGGTGTTTATGGTTTTGAATTTTGGTCTTATTGACTCAACCTACATGAAAGAAGGGGGACATCAGTAATGTCCAATAACACGGGTCTTGCTCAGTCCATTAGTCTTCACAATGAGATATGATCAGTATTACAGATTTATTGTTCTTCTGTTGTCATGGAATGATGCGGTCTGCTTTCCACTGAAGGTTATTTCCCCTATCTTTGATTTCTTTTTATAATATAGGGGGGGGGAAAGGGCATCGGTGGAAATAAAATTCATCCTTCAGATAGCTTTTTTGCTTAAAGTAGGAATGAGCTAAGACTGCTCACCGTCTTTTGGATGCTCACGTCTCTTTCCCTGTCTCTAATACTTAATGTTAAGATCTGCAGGGGGAGACAAAGCTCCAAGACAAAGTGCAGCTGAGAGGGCACAGGTACCCGATTTCTGACTAACGTCATCACCACATGACATGAGAACGCACTTCTTACCCAAAGATGTTAAATTCCTCTCAGCCCTTCCTGTGAGTCTGTACCTACTTTGCCTTTACACAAGTCTTCAGCTTACCTATCTCCAGTCTTAAGAAAAGCATCTTCTTTCTTGTAACCTGTCTTCCCTTCACCCCAAATCACCACCTTTTAAAAAAAAAATCTCTTTGTCTTGATCATGATGCATTTTGACATTATTTATTCCACAAATTCTTCCCAATCTCCTCCTACCAAGGATATACTGATGCCACAACACCAGCATTGCAGACATACCCAGACAACTGTTCAGTTAGTTTCCTTGTCTATGTTTATTAGGAAATTAAATATGTTAGGGACAGTTCTCTGGCACCAAGGGCAGCTGATATGGATCAGCCTGTGTCCATAAAATTAAATTCTCTCACCCATCATTTATGGGTGGCCTCATCCAAACTGCCAAGTGAGAATATTCTCTGACTGTATTAGCTCCAAGATCATTTGGGAATTGTACTGGACTTTGCTCTTGGGTCTGTACCACAGCTTGTGATGGACTGACAGCTTAACAGTCGAGGTGATCAAGTGTCAGTGCCAAGGCTTGTCCTTTGGTATTATTTAGTTTTCTAATACAGACATATCGATCAGCTTTAATGAACCCTTGACTCAATCTCTCGGTCTGATTTTTTTCATTTTGAAGTCAACTGATAATAATAGCTATTACTATTACTGTTGTTGTTGTCATCATTGTTATAGTTATTATTGTAATTACAACTAAAATTACAAGCTCTCATTGACTTCGGGGAGACTTCCTTCCCTCTGCTGGAAATCTCTCCACCTAGTTTCTTAATCATGCCTTAATTCTTGCAGTTGACCCTCAACTTTCCTTGTTACTAAAGAGCAGACACTCGCTCTTCCGCAGAGCCTCAGCACGTTCCATAGACGTGTGTTGGCACTGACAGGGAAAGGATCTGGGATCCTGACCCTGCTGACTCAGGTATCAGGAGCGGCGCCTGCTTTGCCCGCTGTGCCCACATTTAAAAGGACTGCAAGGCACTGAGCAACTGAGCTGCTCCCTGTTGAGTGCTGTTGGCAGGGAACTGCAAACCAGCTTGTTTCTTCCCAGCAAGGGACTTCAGGGCAGTGACAAAACAGCACGCCCTCCGTGCCATCAGGAGGAAGGCAGCTCTCCCCTCTCCTGTTCTTGCTAGGCTTACAGGCATGCTTGTCGATCCCTACCTCTCAGTGACAAAGCTATGCCAGGAAAGCCTATTTTCCTTCCAGCACAAATCACCAAGGGAGCAGCAGGCTGCTCTTCTCTCCTCCTGCTCCTCCACTCTGCCACTCACTCACAGGGATGTAACTGGCCCTGTGCAGGGTTGCACCCTAAAGCAGGGGCTCCCTTTAGGGTCCCAAGTCAGATGAGACCGAGTGGGATAGACACACCGTGTTCTGCCCTGTGTTAGCTGGATTCAGATCACCTGCGAAGAGATATCACCCTTCAAGCATGCATGTGTATTTTTATTTTGTTTTCTTTTCTTTGCCGCTACTCACCCTGGGGAGTAGAGACGTCTGCTTCCTACAATCACATTTAAGTGTGAGGTGAGCACAGTTTTACTCTGTAGGTATTGGGGTGTAGAAACAGGCAATTTCATGCCAACATTTTTCCTGTTGGCAGTTTTAAAGAAGTTACAGAGAGGAAAAAAAAATTTTTTGGGGGGGCTTACAGGAATCATGCCAAGACACACTTAAACTTGCCTGGACTCAGCTAGAGCCAGGGTGCTCACAGAAAGCGCAAATCCCTGCCATGAAAACGGGGATGACTTGGTGTATTGTTTCTGCAGTCAGTTTCAATTACAGTGCTGAATGCATATTTATGGAAGAAGGTGGGTAAGAGCACTGATGAATGCATTGGTGACTTTGACATGAATTTCAAACATAAATCTGCCTTTCAGACTTTCCCACTCACAAAAAACAAAACAAAACAAAACAAAAAACCCAAAAAAAACCCAAGATAAGAGCTGAAAGTTAAATCCTTGAGCTAGGTCTCGTTACTGCAGGTATCCTTAAGCCCTTAGCTGATCTTCCCGGTGTCTGTGGTTTGGACCAGTATTTCTCACCAGACGCAGTATGAACAGTTTCTGGTTTGTAATGAATAGTAACACCCCAAAAAATAAAACCCAGAGAAACCAAAACTCAAACCAAAAAAACTGAACAAAACTAAAGGAAGTTTATGCTCCACATATTTTCTGTTTGCAAATACCTTTAAGCAAACACTAGAGATGGATGAATAGCTTTTCCACCTGCATTTCAAGACAATACCAAGCCCCCAGCCACTTCACTACATTTGTAGATTAGAGGATTTTATATATATATAAATTACATAAATATACAAGATACTAAATGACACAAAGCTCTGGGAGAGAGAATGAAATGATAGAGGCTCAGAATAAAGTGTTGATTCTTTATTCAACTGCAAAAACCCTCTCCTGGGATGCTCTAATTTGAATTTCAGAATTGGAAAACCCAATGTCTTTCAATATTGCTATACTGCTATATTTTGGTGTTCAGAGTTCGCAGATAATGAAGGATAAGAACACAGGTATATCAGAATAAAGAAATGTCGTGAAGTCCTGTAAGTGCTGTGCTTGTGTAGATGAACTGAAAACTTTGTTCCTAGAGGAGCTCAGAGGTGGTCAGTGGGAATCTTTCTGCTGGACAGGAAGCATCTGCTGCCTCTGCTGTTATCAGTGCACTGCAGTGAAGACTTTGGGGTTAAGGCAGAGGGTTTCTGAATCCATAAAATCCCAGTCTCTGCCACATACGTTCAGGGAAATAATTTATTTTGTTAATTTCTCAGTTTTCCATCTGTAAATTTGGGATTGAAATGAAAGGATTTTTGATTACTTTGGTGCCACTATCTGCTTGGAAGTGATGTCTGTTCCATATTTCCATACATGCAGCTCTCATCCAAGGAAACCAAGTGCCATGATGAGTTAAATTAGTCATCATTTGGTATAGCGCTCCTTCCTATTCCTAATAGACACTAAGTATTTGTTTTGCCAGTTATCAGGCCTAGCATAAAGGACACAGCCAACATAAAGATGAACCAATGACCAAACTGTATTTGATACAAAAGGGTCAGGACATGGGTAAGCGCTGGGGGTACAAACAAGTCAGATTATACATAATCAACATCAATCCCAATGACCCCAGCAACGACACCATATGGCCAGCAATGGGTGGGATAACCAGTGAAATGCAGTCTCCCAGAGAAGGGACGGGAGACAACCAGCTCAACAAGCCAAACACATCAGACCAAGGAAGCCACACACTGGATCTCTACACAGCCCACGTTTACAAAAGCCAGACCTGACTGGAGCCCAGTCCCAGGGAGGCAGGAGGTCCTTCCCCAGCAGGGAACTCTGCACAGGGCATCCCCCTCACACACAGACACTGCCCCTCCTGCAAGGGGTCCCAGCTGTTATCCCTGCGTGGGACCCCTGACCTTGAGTCACTGACTGCGGGACCCCTGGGGTCATTGACCCAATGGCTCTGTCTGCCAGGCCGCCCACCCTGGGGGGGAGCCTAAAGGGAAACTCACCCCCCTCTGGGAAGGGCTGTGGGAATCACCCAGATGTCAGCCTTAACTTGGGGTTGGGGTTGAAACCCCAGCATTTCAGTATTGCATTACTAAGGTAGAAAATCCTACGAACAGAAAAAAATGTTGTTTCTAGGTAAGTTACAATTTATTTCTGGGACTAGCATTGGGTGTTTTCATAGCATTAATTTTCTGTTTGGTTTTTTTTTTTTTTTTTTTTTTTTTTTTTTTTTTTTTTTCATTCTTTTGCATGTGAAAGAAATGGAAGCAGACAACATCCAGGAACAGGCTTGTATGTGAGACCTTATAACATCTCTGTTCAGGTGCAGCCTTCAAATGGAGAAACTGAGAAACAGCTTCCTGTACAGCCAAAAATCATTTTTCTGGACAGGAAGGTAGGATTTTTCCCTCTGTGGATGGATGCTTCTATTAATTCTGTGCAATTTTGACATTTCCAAGTAATCCAAAAGCTATGAGACAGACCTAAATATGGCATAGGACAGCTCTATTAATGAATATGGGAAAGGATAGAAGTAAGCAATCATTGGCATTCTGGGAACATCTTCCAGGATGGACTGTGTTCACATTTTTCAGCTTTTTCCTGTGAGTCTTAGACTCATCCTGTACAAATGATTATGTGCAATTTTCTGATTTCTGTTCCTAAAACTTAAAAGATATCATTGAGGAATGTAGGAACAACAACAACGGAATCATGAAGGCTGGTAATATCAGGTATAATGAGGTATCATAGTCTGCCCGAGCAACTCCACACCATACAGAGCAGTGCTGTGTAGAGATCATCACGTTTAAAACAAGCTTGGACTTCTATGTGATGTGATTTAGCACTGCCTGAGGTATTAAGACAAGGCTTGGAAAAGGCAGACTAGGTCCAATGAGTCTTTAGAAGCTGGTAGGTTGTTGGACTAAATTCAGTCCCAAAGTCAGGTGAAAACTGCATAGCATGGCTTCGTGCTGTATTTCTGTTTCCTTCATATTTTCATGTCCTCTTTGCTGTTTTACAGCTGTTTCCTATTATGGCATCTTTCTCATTTTGCTGGACAGGTGAAAGTATAGCCACAGAAGAGCTAGCCCCAGGTACAACATTTTTACAGTGGTGACCCTGAAGCATGGTGTCAAATCCAAGCTTGGACAGCTTTGTGGACATTATTTCTGGATGCAAAGTTGCTTTTCAGTAAAACCAGCTCTCTATATCTATTACTCATGAGTCTGGATTTACAACTTTAAGGCACAAAACTTTCAGCTTCTTTCTATTTCCCTCAGTTCCCTACACATAGGGATCTTGTTGCATTGTAGGCTGTGGAATATATTGTCTGCCAGCTCCTGTAGAAAGGTAAGTCCTTTCCACAAGTCAACTCTGCTGGATGTCAAACATTGCTGGCTGCCTGAAATGACACACAAAACTTACATCTAGGCAATTGAATCTTCCCTTGAGTCTCATACCATTCTTCAGACATGTTTCAGGTTTTCTACTAGTCTTGAGACCAGTAACTCCCTCAGAAAATAATATAAAAAACCCCAAACAAACCACCCTGAAAGCTAATAGTTTTATATGCACATAGACTATTATGGCTGGATAATTTACATATCAAAATTAGTTTCTTTCACTGTCTGTATGAGGAACTTAAATCTTCACCCTGACTCAATAGACAGACTGAATCTACTCTTGTTTCCTTGAATCTGTGGAGTCACCATCCTTGGAGATATTCAAAAGCTGTCTGGACATAGTCCCGGGCAACCCCTTCTACCTGGTCCTACTTCAGCAGAGGGCTGGACCAACTGACCTCCAGAGGTGTCTTCCAACTTCAACCATGCTGTGATTCTGTGAACTTAGATGCCACAGAGGCCACGGTGTCAAAATCAGCTGCTTCTCATAGGTGATGTAAATGGGACCCTAGATACTTCAAGTGAAGCAGCAAACCTTGCCAGACTTTATTGAAACAGTCCTGAAGTTGCCAGACCTGGTATGTCTGAGCTTAAGCTCATCTTAAAGAGATATGCTGAGCTTTGTGACATTTATAACACGTGACATGTAGATGCAAACTGCCCTCCTGCTGGCCATTAAAAATTTATTACAATTGATAAAAACCTCAGAACTCCTCTTGTGAGGAGACCAGACCTTTATTCTTCTTTTTTTTTTTCTTCCTCCCAGGGTCAAAGAGTTGACAAACTGGGGCTTCCCTCAGAACCCTGGGTTGTATCGGCTCACCTCAAGGGCTCCTCTGAGGCTGTGCTAAAAGGTTTGTATGTGTTTTATTACAGCAAGGGTGATGGCAAAGCACCTGTGCAGAATGACAGTGATAAATCTAGGAGTTCTCCCTGAGAAATACTGGATTTGAAAACTAGTCTTTGGGCTGAAAAAAGGTTTGGAGTAGGAGTTTGGTAAACTGCCCAGTCATATGCTAGAGAAAGAGAAGCTTATAGAAAGTATTTTCATGCTCTGGTAGCTTAAAGAGAGTATATCAGGTAGTTTATCTCAAAAAGACATATCTTAGATCTAAAAAAAAAAAAAAAGAATGAAGAATTAGAAATCCTAATATTTGATTTTCAGCTGATGTTAATAGGGGCAATTTCCTTAGTCAATGACAACCTGTTTGTCCCAGCAAAGGATCTGGCCAAGTACAGACAGACAACAACTGCCTATTGTTTGTAATTAGCATACTTCAAGGTGGAAATATTTTTCACGAGGGATCTAAATGTTTTCCTTCTGGTCCTCATTTATTGAAAGACCTGAACTCATGATTAACTCCAAGCATGTGAGTATTTCCCTTGAGGTTATTGAGGCTATGAAGATACCTAAATATAGAAACTTGTTTAACTACAGTGCTGAACCAAAACCTGTGAATGCTCATATTCTTGGAAATTAGAAAGTGGAAATTATATTGATTATAAAGCATCCTAATTTTCATTGCTAAAATCTTTAAATGTAAGCAAAGACATCACACACTGAAAAGTGAGTATTTCCTATTATAAAGTATTCTGTTTGCAGTAAAGCCTTTTGTGTGTTAGCTTTGACTTGAAAAGTTCACATTTAGAGAAGACAAGTGGCACTTGTGCTGTAGATCAGAGCTTCTCACCCTTTCGGTCTGTTTTTGTTAATTAGAAATTTTTCCTACCTCATCGTAGTTCCAGGTTTACAGATTAGAAAAATCCTTTGGTCTTTTCTCCTGTTTTTCATGCCTTTTCAGGGTGGAACACCTCATAGTTTTAGGAACATGCGTTTAGATGAACCACAGGTTATTGGAACAGTTAGTGACTAACAGTGGGAGGAAGGAAGAGAGGAAAGGAAAAAAAAAAAAAGAGGAGAGGAAGAAGGAAGAAAGGAGTCAGGGAAGGGAAAAGAAAGAGAAGACAACAAAAAGACAAAAAATAAAGAGAAGAAAGAAAAAAAAAGGATAGAAAGAGAGGGAGAAGGAGAAAAAGGGGGAAAAAAATAAAAAGTCACTGAAGAGAAATGCACTTCCCATTCTTTAAAAGATACATGCATCAAATTAATAGTCAATAAACTCCAGCAAAGAAAGAACCGCGTGCTGCAGATGTTCTGCATGTAATAGTTTGCTGCAGTTTTTCCTTTGACAAACGTCCTTATTGCACTCGTCTTTTGCAGCATATGAAAGCAGCATTTAATCGAAATGGGTCCCGTCTAGCACACTGAGGCTGCTTCATCTGACAGCAGCCAAACTGCCTCATGGAAAGTAGTTTAGCTCCAAATTAGCTTGCTTCTACGTTAAATACCAGCTTGCCTGAAAGATCTTTCTGAAGACTCCCATATATATCTGTAATATTCTGAGCTTTGAAGCATATGTGCCCGAAAGCTGAGACAGTCTCTGTTGAGAAGTACAGTACAGTACTCCAGGCTTCATCATAGACTAGAAATGGCAATTATAAAGTATTTGAACGCAGCTGACAAGACCCTCTATAAAAGCAGTGCTACAGTGAGTATCAGAGCCAAGAAAAGTCTTGGTAGTCTGAGCAGATACTGTCATAAGGAGTATCATAAAGAGATGAGCCAGGATCAGGCTGCAGCGATTACAGAAATCTAGATTCCCACATATCCATCAAGTCTATTCACAGTATAAATTACAGCTTACTTATACATCACAGCTGGTCCTGGAGACTCACAATGAAATGGGGGGTGGTTGGGGTGCTAGATGCTGTACAAAAATAGAAAAAAAAAAAAAAAAAGATATTAATAAATTAAGTACTACCTGATCATGGAGATGGAAAACTTTACCATTTCTATTTCTAGGTCGTTAAAATGCAACATGCTTTTGCCCAGGACCTTGTCTCAGGCAATTTCTGGCTACGATTCATAAGCCAACACATCAGAGATGTAATCTCAGCAGGCAGTTTGCATTGCAGCATCTCTGTTTGGAGTCTGTAAGAGTTTAAGAGGTTTGACCAGGGTGCCGCTGTTCTTCAGTGCCAAAGAGCAGATCCTGGCACTGTTTAGTTTGTATCATATATGTGTAGGCATGAAAAATGGGTTAAAAACGGAGAGAAATTTTCCTTGCAGTCTGACCTACCATCAAAAGCCTTGTCCCCACCTGCTGAACACTCCTATGTATCTGTGACTGCAAAATGTCTCACTAAGATGCTTGCTACCTCGCCGCTTCGTTCAATACCCTGGGCAGAGTAGAAACGTCCTCCTTGCACTCAGACTTTATGTACCTTCACCTGTGCCGCTTAACTGCAATAAAATGTCAAACCACCTGCTTCATAAAGCAAATAGTTATTACGTGTTGTCTCTGTGCAGGCAAAAGCCAGAGTTTGTGATCACTGGAGCAAGTCCAGCGTCCTAAGGAAGTTCTGACTTCTCACCCCCACCTGAACCAACATTTTTAAATTTGTCAGTCTTTAGGATTTTACCCCTCTCACCCCAAGAGCCTGAACGAAGCCCAGACCTGGTCAGCATTGCTCAAAGGCCAGGACTTGGCTGGTGCTCAAAGATACACACAATAAAATGGAGATCCAGTTGCAAAGTAAATTATAACTTTTAAAAAGACCCTAAAAAATAACAACCATAGCAAGTGTAAATGTTGGGTCAGAATGCATTCCCTGATAGCTTAGAGCAAGAGGTAAAGTGATGGAGAAACTGCTCTCCTGGGTTTCATTTTAATGTTCCCCATGGAGCTTTCCCGTGCCAGGTTTCTAGTTGAAGGTGTCTCCTGTATGATCACAAGGCAGTCACCACAGACATTTTTCATGGTCGGATCCCTTTCAAAGCATCTGACAGGGTTGGAGAAAAGTTCAAAATGATTTAACAGCAGGACAGGAGGGAATATGTCCAAATGATGAGGTGAAACATCTACAAATCACAAAAGGGTTAAAACAGTCAGCTCTTTCTCCTTAGCTGTTGTGTCTGGCTCTCTGAGAACATCCCTTTAGGACAGAAAACACTCCATCTCTCATCAATACTCTCCTCACCTTGGTGATGTACTTAGTCATACAAGATATGAGTTAAATCAAAAAGAAGAGCATCTGGATCTTTCTGTTGCATCTGTGTAACTCCTATTACCTTTGCCTGGTGCCCTTAACATCTGTATTCATGTTACAGCCCCATGAGATGGTTATGTGCAGTGAATTCCATTTCACAACGAGTTCAGAGAACCAAGATTCAGAAGCTAAAGTCCTCCAGTCCATCAGGAATTTGATGTCCAATTACCTCTGAAGACCTGACCCTATGTGAAATTTCTGGGGTTAGACAAAATATTTACGATTAGGAAGGATGCAGTATTTAATCTTTCCGAAGTCCCCTTAAAGTCACAAGGACTCTGAGAGCTGGTACTTATTTGGATGCTGTTAATTGCAATATAATTTTTTATTGCTCTGCAGGGCTCACCCAAGTGCAGGTCATAGATGGATGTGCGAGCTTTTCCAATCTGGCTGTCTCCAGCTCGGGTACAAACTGGAAACTTGTGTTCACTGTCACATCACCTCCAGGTAAGCTCCATTTTCTGCATGTTTTATGATTTGGTAACTGAACTCAAAACCCTACAGGTTTGATTTTATAAAAAGGGAGTTAAGCTTTGTTTGAATGTGTGGAGCAATGCCAAACCTCTGAGTAGCCTGACTTCTGTTACACATTCAAATTGACGTTACCCGGGCAGCTAGAGAGCTGGGTGATTCCTGTGCTATTCATGCAAGATCCCCAAAATCAAGGTGAGTTATTACAGGGAAGTATGGTCAGAGAAAGGTGGTCTTGCTCCCTGGATTCCCCCACTATGTATCCCATGTGTATACCAATCAGGTACTCAAGGACAGCTAAGCTGACAGAGCAATATTTTTCCTATAAATTAAGTGCTCTCATTCCCTCTTTTTTTCCTGTTTGTATTCAGAAATTTTCCACCTGTCCTCCCAGTTATTTTCCCGGTGCCTTTCACCAACTATTTGTCTGCACCTGATCGTCTTTATAGGTGCAACAGGTTATGCACATTCAGAGCACCAGGACTTGGATCTGCTAGGGGTATCCTGGCAGTTTGCAGGGATGATGCTGGGACCTCCAGGATCGTGCAGCTTGCACAAGGCCTCTGAGCAACCCAGGCATGGTGAAGAGGCAGGTGTGCTTATGCCTCCTTAGAAACAGCAGCTGAGGGGAACATTGACACCTTGGGGATAAGGCACCAGGTTAACTCTGGCTTGTAAAAGCCTCGGGGAGTCTGCACAAGAGATGTACCCATCCAACTCTTTGGAGGCCTGAATTTATCTACAAATTGCCTCTGAAGGCATATAGGGGTCAAAGTGCCGGATTCTTGTCTCCGAATGACTGCTGAGGCAAGTCAGAGGCAGGAACATGCTGTCTGACATGTAGTCCAAAGGTATATTAGGTGTTGTAAGACCATGTGTATTCTCTATTGTGGTATTGCATACATACACACATATATGGAGGTATAAGTATGGATATATATCTAGAGAGAGAGTTTAGATATAGACATAGATATATAGATGATGATATAGATACAGATAGATAGACAGATATAGATGATATAAAATCACAGAATCAACTAGGTTAGAAACGATCTTGAGGATCATCCAGTCCAACCACTGACCTCACACTGACAGTTCCCAACTACACCAGATCCCTCAGCACTAAGTTAACCTTACTCTTAAACCCCTCCAGGGATGGGGACTCCCCCCCTGCCCTGGGCAGCCCATTCCAACACCCAACAACCCCTTCTGGAAAGAAATGCTTCCTGACATCTAGTCTAAACCTTCCCTGGCACAGCTTGAGGCATTCCCTCTTGTCCTATTGCTTATTACTTGGTTAAAGAGACTCATCCCCAGCTCTCTGTAATAGATATAGATGATATAGATAGATATAAATTAGATATAGATATAGATGTCTCCCTACATATAAATAAACTGAGACCCTTCATGTGGAAAGAATCCTAGGAAGGACAGATAGAATTATTTCCAGGAGAGATAAAGCAATGTGTGTGTGTGCCACTGCATGAAGCCCTGATGAGTGGTCCTTGAAGTACTGAATGTAGTTTTGTTTATGCATGTTCAGAGATGATCTCAAAATGAAGTAGGTACAGGCTGAGCATTTTTAATGAGGAAACTCCAAGATTTTCAGCCAGAAAAAAACGGAGAGGACAAATATATCAGACAGGTTAGTGGCCAAATGGAGATGGCTAATGAAAAAACTCTGAGCTAAAAATTTAGAAGGTGGTTACTAACATTTAGACTGTATTTTTCTAAACAGCCTGTCTTAATATATAGGAATAGTGAGAGCAGATCAAACTGCTTTTGGATGGAGGTCAATACTCTTACGGATGATACTGTAAAACACAGTACACACAATAACATGGGATAGGATTTATAAACTAAGAAATCCCTTCCTATCCTTGGATTAAATGAAGATCCAGATCTTTAAAAAAATTTTTTAACATTTGCTGCTCCTAGTCACAAGTGGCTAATGAACACCAAGCGTTGCTAATGGCTTTGCAAAGGGAGACCTGGGGTACTTGAAGATGGGCCTTTAAAGGGGGGAAATATGTTTATTTTCAGGGGGTGTGCTGCCAAACACCCACAGCTCCCATTGCCTTCACTTCAGTGAGAGCAGATGGAAAGTCAGCACCTCACAGGATCCGACTCTTCGGTGGGAAGTACAGCTTAATGAAATGTGTTTTGAAAGCTATTTCAGGGATGTCACCAAATCTTTCCTCCAAACACAGGTCAAACGGAGATACCTTTTACGGAACATTTAGCCAGTCAGCGTTGCAAAGAGATGTTTACAGCTAGCAATGCTGATGGCTTATACATCTGTGGAGGCATCACCTGTGCAAATCAGAGTACAGTACAATTTTAATGTGCATTGCAAAGGTATGCACCGAAGAAGCAGTCCCCTTTGCTCGCTTGTAATTGCGAACCACGCTGGAAACAGTATAAAGGCTTTTATACTGCCAGACCCTTTACTGAAGATATTTGCTTATTGTTTGAGATAAACAAACAAAAAAATTAAACCATTAAACAGTCGATGTTTGGGATACATTTTCATGACCAGATTTCTGTGTGTACCCTGGCATAGTTTGCTGTCTGGAAACAGCTCAGAAGATGCAGCTGGTGTTGAATGCAATAATCCCAAATGTTTTAGTGGTAGTTCCTGGGGAGAGTAGACTATTCATAGCACTACTGAATAGTCTTACTCCTTGTTTTACAGTAATATTCACTTAACTCCTATGGATCCCAGTAGGCCTGATCCATCCACTTTCCATTTAAACCAACAGCAGTCTACTCACAAACTATTAGAGTAGTGCAAAGCACCTTTAAGCACCTGTCAGTGTAGAGTCCTTGATATCTGTGAGATTACTTCTCTCAACTGAAGTTCATATGTGTTTGTACCTGCAGGCAAATTTTTCCCAATTGGAACATGCTTCCCACATTGTTCTGATGAAGCCCTGCTTTGTTCAAATGGACAATATTGACACAAATCTAATTAGTTTCAGATAAAAGTACTTACAGCTACTTACCCTAGTCTCCAAGCCTCTATCTGACAGTGTTTCTGATTTTTTTTTAATGAATTGATGAAAAAAAGGCTTTTAGATTTTTATTAAAAGTGGAACTCAAACAAGTAAAAGAAATATCCATCCGTCAAAATGATTAGAACTGTGGGGTTAGGACTGATAATGAGTCAGGTAGTAAGACAGGTAATGAGTTGATGTGTGAATCCACATCCTTCAAATTGGTCTATAGAGAAGGCCAGGGCCAGTTTTGTTAAACTCCTGTCCTTCCCCGGAACATTTCCATTAAAAATGGGTTTTGGAAGTGATTCAGGGAACCAAAACCTCTCTGTAATTCTGATTTTTAAAAAGGGCAGTATTAGGCATCTTCCAGTCCTTGAAGCTCAGATGTTGAGATCCAGTGAACTCTTGACCACAGAAACTATGAATAGTGGTTGGCTGGATTCTGATTTAATTTACAGAAAACTTTAGGATCTCTGTGTGAAAAGCATTACCCAAAACCTGTGTGTGTCAAGAGACTAAATATTTCCCATGCTAACACCAAGGACACATATTTTTTTATTTATAATGCTCATTATCAACATGGTGGAAAATATTAACAAGTTCACTGGGAATTTTCTGCATCATGGACTTAAGCTTAATGCTAGTGAATGTTTCTAGGTTCTTCATAACTTACATTGAATATGATATGAATCAGGTGTAGCCTGTAAAAACTGTATGACTGAGAATCTTTCTTGTCGCAATCAGTTTCTCTGTCTTGTTAGGCAGAATGTGAATGTTTTCTGTCTGGGCCTGATCTGTTTGGCTTCAGAAATAGATGCTTATGAGTGTATTTTTGAGGCTTGGTAGTTAGCTAGACAAATTCATGAAAGAAGTATTAGGATTATTAAATACAAAGAGGCTGTCTCTGCTTCAGGAAGAACTGAAAGCTTGAAAGTTACGTTGAAGAATACTGTACAGATTTAGTTTGTCATGGTACTCAGTCCTAAATATTGTTGGCTAATGTTTGATCTGGAGATAGACAAACTTATGGGTTATTCCTGTGTGCATTTTTAACAGCAGCATCACGCTGAAAGGCTATAACCAGGTGTTTTAGCTATGAAACCAGCGTTGTTACTTTTGTAGTAAACTCTGACTGCTTTAAATTCTCAGGGGTTAAATTTACTGTGATGTCTCAGCCATTCACCATCTTCCCCGTCCCCATGGGAGCAAAGGCCAGCATGATCCTTGTTGTCATCCTGAGTTCAGCAGCATCTGCATTCATCCTCACTCTTGCGTTCTGCTGGTTCAGGAAGAGCAAAAGCAACAGTAAGTTGGAAATGCCCACTAAAATTTATACTTGCAGACTCCCTATTTTGTTTAACAAATCTCCAGAGTGGCCACCATGGGATTCAGACAACGGCACTCAGAGAAAGCTCGGGGAAGTTCAGTAATTAGCAGTACAGTTCGTAGTTCATGGTTATACAGTTTTGTGCCTATAACAGACACCTGAGTCCTTGCAGGAGAAAGTTTTAACTGTATGTGAAACCTAATGAAAATCAGATTTCTATAGTGCAGACAAAGAATTGAGAAATGAAAGAAATATTTACTATGATTTCAAGGATCTATTCAGCCACTGCATTTTCCGGATGAAGGATGACAGCTTGATGCTGCCCAAGGACCAGACGCAGCTGCAGTGTGAATGTCACCGAGACAGGAACACGACCATGCTCATATCACACTATCAGCATCGTACGGGGCAAAGTGGTAATGGGGGGGCCTACAGATTCTCTGGAATTCTCCCCCAAGCAAATCCACACCTCTGCTAACTTATCTTAAGGTTGCTTTCTTTTTAGCATTGATCTTAAATCAAATATAGCTACCTCAAGGAGGATTTCCCACTGCAGAAGGCGTGAGGCTATTTGTGTAAGAGAAGAACTGAAGATAAAATGATGTGATGGTAACTGTTGGTGGCTTGATTGCCAAACAGCCACCTCAAACTGTGGAATATGTTGAAAGTTACCAATAGCTTGGCCTTTGACATATGCCCGCTGAAGTTGGGACCTAGCTAAATGTACAGGTAACCTGTAGTGGAGGAGTAAATGCACATCCTGGTTAGCTAGTTTCAAGACCTTTTCAGTAGTTTCTCCAAAATTTTGATTTCAAGTAACTTTGTAAATTCAGGTTAAAGGGTCTTTCTCCTAAACTGCACCATGAGCACTAACTGCAGCAAGGTCCGGATTTCTAGTATTATTGAACATGGTGACAACATAAGGAAGGCTTCTACTGAAGAGAAGAGTTGAGAACCCCAGTGGCAAAGAAGAAGATGATATGAGCATAAAAATCTGTCTCTGGGCAGAGAAAACACTTCTAGATTACCTGTTAATTCACCAGCAATATATTGTCACTTGAATTAATAATTGCTGCTAAAATGAGGATGGATTGAGAGTGATGTGGCTGTTTCATTACAGAAACAAGGACTGAACGGGCTGATCTACCACCGGCCAGTACCACCGGACCCCGTAAAGAAGCACAGCCTCAAGCGGTTCACATCCAGCCTTGCTGCAATCAAGGAGACAATAAAAGTGGCGTGCCTGTAGCAGGAGGTGAGACTGCAGTTTGACCATGATTCAAATTTATAAACAGTTGAACATCAAAAGAGTGGGTTTAGGTCTCTTTAAAAAACTATAGGTTTGCATAGGACCAGTGGCACAGTTCTTTGTTACTTTATTATCTCCTCCTCCTCCCTGGTATTTCTCTATTTGTCACTTTTGTATAAATTGTGTGTGAATTGCTGTGAAGGCAGCAGCATAATCCCCCTTATGCTCGATGCATCCATGATTTCACTTAGTGTTTTTAGAGTAGGGCAAGGGCCGACATTCCCGCAGTGTCCCCGGCATGCCTGGAGCAGCAGGGTTCCTCCCTATCCAGGTTCTCCAAGTTGCTGAGGCAGTAACTGCACAGGGCTCGGAAAGCTCTGGTGGTGTTTGGAGGCTGTAGAGGACTGCAGTGAGGTACACTGGAGGTAGGGAAAAGTACTTGGGGCTCATTTGCAGGGTCCCCGTTACCTCCACCACTCTCTCGTCCTTCATGCTGTGCTTTCTGAGCAGCGAGTCCATGCCAGCACGCCCAAAGCAGCTCCGCTCCCTCCCACCCCCACTGCGTGTCCCCTGGGCTCCCCAGGGTCCCTGCCACAAACACCCCTCTTCCACACACCTCCTCAAGACTTGTCTTTTCATCATCTGCTGATCAAACACGACTTCTTCTGAGGTCACGGAAAAGCAGACAGCCTCGGGGGCATGTGGCTGGCAGCAGAAAGCACTGGCTTCCCTCTCTGCAAGTGAGAAATGGTCTTATAGAAGTTGGGTTGGTTTTTTTTTGGTTGTTTTTTTTTGTGTTTTTTGTCTCACCTGCCAATAGCACAGATCTAAAGGCATTCGGATAACCCTGCTGAAGCACCCATTTACTCTGTTTTGGGAATTTCTCCTTCCTCCTTCTTCCCAAAGCCTGTCGATTATATAAGAGACAGGAAGAGGCGAGCCAGAGTTTTATCTCCTTTTAATTAGCATCTATCACAAAAGCAGAGGGAGAGAGAGAAGGAGAGAGGAAATTCTGCAGTTTATGTGTTTTGATATTTGCTGTATTCCTCCAAAACACAGCATTCAGCTGTGTGCCTTAGGATACATATCTGCTATAAATTCATTTTTTATCTAATTTGTCTGAGATCTAAGCTTCCTGTGGAGGTCTGAGATCAAAGGATCTGATTCCGTCTGATGTCGGCTCTGACACATAATGCGTGCTGACTTAGTTCTGTCTATAAACTCGCAGTGGGAGGCTGCCATTCTCCCTTGGCACCTTTACATAGTGAACTTTCATTTTGGCTGGGGAGGCTGACAGGTATAGCGTTGATTGGAGCCATCGTGTAAATAATTCATGGAAAGATATTTTTTTTTTTTTTTTTCCACTTAAAGTCTTTTAGGAATAGTTTCAAGACAAAGATTCCCCGATATGTTCAAATCTAAACAAGAATAATAATATCTTAAGTGAATTTAATACATATGACTTGGAAATGTCTAATGTTTGATTTCCCCTTATTTAAAGTGTTGTTGGTTTTGGAGAGAGAGGGAGAGAGGAAATCAAAGCAGAAGTCTTTTTGTTTAGTTTCTGCTTTACAGCTCTTCCCCCCATAAGAAATCCCACCCTTCTAATACAATTAAGTGTTCGGAGCCTTTATTATTAATCACCACAGCAAGTCTTGCGAGGCAGAGTGTTTCTGTTTGGTAGGTGCTTATAGAGTCCAATGGAGGTGGGGGTCCTGGTTGCTGCTCCAGAACAAGTGGCTGAGGGTGGAGGTGAGGAAGAAAGCTGTATGCATAGATATGTAGTACTGCAGGGGAGAAGGGATCAAGATATTACCTTGTCTGAACTTGGTGTAACAAAAAAAATCTCTTCAGCTTCGGATAATTATCTCTCTCTTGAATTAAATAACTTTTGATTGACTAACACATCGTTAACAAAACCAGCAGCTGGAGGTGGAGGAACATACTGGGGTTATTTGTTTTGCAAATTTTGCACTTATTCTGGTGGTTCACCACCTTCGCTACTGAAAAGTTGTGTCCTATAACATCTTATGTTTCCAAGCTTCAATTCCCAGTCTTTTCAGGTATTGTACCTTATTGACCCTTATCCTGAAGACCTTGGTCTCCATCGCCCAGAAATCACTGTTGTATTCCTGATGAGATGCTCCCACTCCACAAACAGGGTTTATCTCTCTTGTTCCTAGGTTGCTCAGAAAAACTCCCTCTTCCTTTTTACCAGTTTGCCCTTTTTTTTTCCACCTTTTACAACATTTCATCGGAATTAATGTCAGTTTTAATTCCACATCACTGGTGGAAGCACTAAATATCATCCATTTCAGCAGTAGTGTCTGGTACTACCACACATCCCCAACTCTGAGAATTATTTTCCATATATAATTAGTGCCTGAGCTCTATTAGTTGGTACTTAATCCAGTTAATCGTGTGCTCTATTGGTATTGAATAGTTCGTATTTATTTTTAAAAAAAATCAGAATATTTTAGATTACTATGTCATATAAATCTCAAGGCAGTATTTCATCCTTGAAACTGCTCATACCCAGAAAACTTTTAGCCTCCTCCGTTAACACAAACTCATTTGAAAAGTCCTGTTTTCACAGTTAAAAAGGCACTTTTGAAGATGAAGAGGGCATCAATACATATCAAGAAATAAGAGGAGCTTTGGCATACAGGGTCATGACCTGATCATCTTGTTTATGTGTGTAAAGAAGAAAATTGAACCTAGTCACTTATGTAGCTTGTACTTTAAAACAGCCAACTACCGTTACCAACTACTAACGTTAAAGCAAATTTGGGAAGGAAAACTGTTACACAGAAAAGTGTGTGACTACTGCAAATTTACTGATAAATTACCAGTGGGTTTCCAAAGGTACAAACTTGAAAGTTGTGAGTGTATGAGTTGGGAAAAAAAAAAAAAAAAAAAAAAAAAAAAAAAAAAAAAAATCTTCTTAAAAGGAAAAGGAAGAATAATCATGAAGAAATATAGACATTTTAGAAAATAAGATAGGGGAATATTATTCCAGCAAATAGAATGCTAATTAATGAAGTCTAGAAAAGGGAAAGGAGAATGCATTAAGCAGTAGGTCAGAGAAAATATGGGGCTGAGTGTCTCACAGTGCTGAGGGTTAAACTTCAAGGACAAACCTGAAAAATAAGAGATTGTAACAGCAGGTTTTCTGGGATTATTTGTGGTGAAGACCTATAATATATGCTGATGAACAGCCTGCAAAAGCTGGCGTTGCCCACTAACACATGAGATATGTGGACTAGGACTGGTTCTGAATTTGGAATGAGTAAAAAAGATTTGGGTCTGGGCTGGTTTCAGTTTATTTTCAGGGGGGGAAGGGAGAGGATGGCAAAAATTTTACAAATGTTTTTAGCATCCAAATGAAGCAGTCTGCCAATCTTGCACTGAAGTGATAGCACACCCTGTCAACTCAGAAACCATCTGCTACAACACTACAAGTGATTCTGCCTCTGTGGCTGATAACCGTTTGGTTTATTAAGATGTAAACATTTTTCATTTCCACATGAAAAATGTATGGTATATATTTTGCTTTTTCTGCATTTTTTTTTTTTCAGAGGCATTTTTTTTTTAAACAGCATTGCAGGTTACAGGCTCTACCCTGAGTAGGATTCAAATGTTGGAAATAAAAAGTTCTACCTTATATCCTGATTCAGAGAGGGCTGATGTATTTTATAGATGTGTAGTGTTAAAATTATTATCAGTCTTACCAATACATAGCTTATTAACCAGCTATATTCTATATAATTCATTATTAAACATTTATTAAAATATTTCAAACCACTGGAGGATGCTCTAGGAGCTGTTAGTGTCTCAAACCAGCTGGTTTGGTTGATGTATATGTATTTGTGGAATCAGCTTATTTCTGTCAAACTAAAATTTGTGGCCAGTTAAAATTATTTTCCCAACAATATCTCCTTTTTCATTAATGTTTTTAAGGCATAGTAAACTCATAGAAGGGTAAGGAACATGAAGGTAGGGTCTTGCAATTGTTGTAAAACACAAACTGATGCTTTCACAGGTATGGAAGCAACTGGAGCAGTGGCACACGCTACAGGACAACTGGAGGAGCTGAATCTGCAGCCCTGTGAAGCCGAGCCAACGAGAACGTCGAGCGCTGTCCGGTGTGATCCAGGTAACAGAGACACCTTCTCTTCAGCTAGGAAGAGCGACAGTCACCAACAGCTACGTGGAGGAACATCTCCTGGTGACCCTCTGGAACTTCAGCAGCCAACTGTCCTCCTGGGCTGCTCCGGCCAGGAGGATGCCCCCCAGCTTTCAGCTGGTTACAACGAGGAAAGAGAGAAGTCCAAAAGGATTTCCAAACCTCAGAATGATGTCAGAGAGCGTGTTGCTGTGGTAGCAGCAGAGGTGTAAGAGGCGTGATGTGAGGTGGTGGGTCACTGACAAAGAAAGCTTGGCCTGGCTTACAGTCAATGTAAAGCTGAATCTTTTGTCTCTGTGGTCAGACAAAGCCGTACACATATTAGCATGAGGAACCGGACTGCCACACTGCCCAGGTACAAAGGAACCTGTCACCTGGGTCTGCAGCCGGCTGGGAGACTCTGGCCGTGTCTGTGTTGTTAAACTTTCTTAGCTTCCAAAACAGGGTGGGTGTATCCAAACTGCCTGCTGAGAATAGTCCTTCTGACACCTCTAAAACTCAGTTTAAGAGCTGTTTGGAAGCATGTTAGCTGGCTAGCTAGGTCAGCCTTCAGATTACTTTCAAAAGCATTCAGGGATAAGCCTGACAATTCAGAAGTACCAGATTATTTGAGTTCTGACATTTTAATATACTAGCACTGATGTAGTCTTAGTGTCTAGAGCAATGCTGTTTGGTATGTATTCATATATAGAATTATATAGGAATTTTCCCATTCCTTCCAATCATGCCTTTAGTTTCATTCAAAGAACCTCGGTATGTGCATAAATCTTTTCCTTTTCTGAGGAAAAACAAACATGTATTCAACGTCCATTTAATTGTGACTTGAGTAAGTGCTTCCATTCCTCCTAGTTAGATCTGTGTTTTCTTTTTTTTTAAAAAAAAAATAATTAAAGTATTTTGCTGAGTTTAATCTTCACCATGTCCTTGTTTTCTAATACCTTTAAATCACTGGCTTGTTATGAACACTACTCTTTATGAATGATATTAATAATGCTGATGTCCTTCGGTTGCTCAGATTATACCTCTGTGCTTTGCTTTACTGAGCTGGAAGATGAGGGACTTTATTATGCCTTCTCTGTACCATAAAATTCTTGGTTGCAAGGTGGCTTGGCGGCATAAGATAAAATTTATACTCCTCTGCAGAAAAAATACTAAAGCAGAAATATGAGGTTTCTGCCCAGATCAGCAATGGAAGAGAAGTTAAGAAATCTTGATTTGAAAAAACAAATAAACAACAACAACAACAAAAATCCCAACCACAATCATTTCCTTTCAAGCTGAAAGAGTTAAGGTGCAGATGCTGGTCAGTGAGATCCAGTTCGAAGCATCATTTCCTGGTGAAAGCAAACGGATTCCATGGTGAGCCAGGCTTCTGGCTGACTGCACAGGAGCTTTTCTGGCTTAAGACATTTGAGGACGAGGGGCTTATATTCTTAAGTGCAATAGATCAGTTATGAAAAAGCAATTTCTTACAGTATTTTCTGCAGAGGCCAAAATATTCTTTTATGTGAATCAACATGGTACATCCCTAAGCCTCACGATTCTGGGACCTTGCAGAGACATCCAGGTTTGGTGAAATGATTTGGAGACCTTTCTTTTCCTCCACAGCTGATACCTAACTTTAGATGCTTTCACGTGGTAAGTGATCTTTTCCTCTCTGCAGAAATACAGCTTCTCCATCCCCTGAACTCCACTCCCCTTAAGTAGTTCTGCTGCTAGTAAGACTCTATCACAGCCAAGCAGCGTGAAAGCTAATAATATATAATTACAAATGGCAGGATGTATGCAAATAATATTGAATTATATGCAAAATTTATACAATAAAGCCTTCTTTTGAGGGAAAAAAAATCAGACATACTGGAAACAGTTAAGAGTTTTAATTAATCCTTTAATTCATAATCCTTGCATTTATCCATACTTTGTTTACAGAATAAATAATGTCTTGCATGTCTAGATCTCTAATGGAACAAGCAGAGCTAAAAAATCTTTAACTGAATCATTCTTGATCTTGATTTCCCACAGTGCTGTGTATTAACTGAGTGAGTGGCGGAGCATGGGAAACAACTGGGGAGAAAGTGGAATAAAACAGGATGAAAAATTAGTGCAAGCATTAAGTGAATTTGAATAAGTAAGAGATTTAGGGGATCTTGTGCTGTGTACCACACACAAAAAAAAAAAACCAACCAAAAAACCAAAACTCTAGCGATCAGAGAGAAAGAAGATGTGACTAAGTGTTTGAAGAACATGGTTAAACATGAGGTGATTTCTAAAAATAATTGGGTTTAGACCAGCTGCAACAGCACTTGAGTGAAATGGGATCCTACTGCTTTGTGGCTGATAGAAATCCAGATTTATTTTGAAAACATTTACATCTAGACAGCAAAGAAAAACCAGCCTCTCATTCTTACAGGGAATGTATGGTTAGATGAACTGACATACCCAAGCTGCTCTGGGATGTCCTGGGCAAGGCAAAGAGACAGCACACATCTCCATTTTACAGGAGTTTAAATACCAACCTGGCCTGTGGGAAGTCTGCATCTCATTAGTCTTTGCATCAATACTTTTTGTGATCCTGCTTCTGTTGGGTTTGCGTGGCCAGGTTTTGGTAATGGGACAGCTGCAGGGGTGGCTTCCGTGAGAAGCTGCCCGAAGCTTCCCCCATGTCCGACAGGGCCAATGCCAGAGGGACCCACCACTGGCCAAGGCCAAGCTCATTAGCGACAGTGGGGGACCCTCTGTGACAACATATTTAAGGGGAAAGAAACCTGTGCAACAACATCTGGAAGAGAGGAGTGAAAATACGTGAAAGAAGCAACTCTGCAGCCACCAAGGTCAGTGAAGAAGGAAAGGGAGGAGGTGTTCCAGGTGCCAGAGCTGAGATTCCCCTGCAGCCCGTGGTCGCTGTGCCCTGCACCTGTGGACATCCACGGTGGAACAGATGCCCACCCACAGCCTGTAGGGAACCCCACGCTGGTGCAGGGGGAATCCCAAAGGAAGTTGTGACCCTGTGGGAAGCCTGTGCTGGAGCAGGCTTCTGGTAGGATTTCTGGCCCCATGGGGAACCCAAGCTGGAGTAGTATCTTCCTGAAGGACTGTACCCCATGGAAGGGACCCACGCTGGAGAAGTTTGGGAAGAACTGTAGCCCATAGGAAGGACTCATGTTGGAGAAGTTTGTGGAGGACTGTCTCCCGTGGGAGGGAGCCCACACGGGAACAGGGGAAGAGTGTGAGGAGTCCTGCTCTTGAGAAGGAAGGAGCGACACAGACATGTGATGGACTGACTACAACCCCCATTCCCTGTCCCCCTGCAGCACTCAGCAGGGAGGAGGTAGAGAAAATCAAGAGTGAAGTTGAGCCTGAGAAGAAGGGAAGGATTAGGAAAGGTGTTTTAAGATTTAGGTTTTATTTCACATTACCCTGCTCTGATTTGATTGGCAATAAATTAAACTAATTTCTCAAAGTTGAATCTGTTCTGCCCATAATGGTAATTGTTGAGTGATCTCTCCCCGTCCTTATCTTGACCCATGAGCCTTTCATTATATTTTCTCTCCCTTGTCTAGCTGAGGAGGGGAGTGATAAAGCAGCTTTGGTGGGCAACAACCACACCACTCAAGACCCTTAGTCTTTGTTTTCTTGATTTCTCCTTAATCTGTATGCTATAATTAGGACAACAGGGGTTTCCACCTTGGCGTGGTTGTTTTGTGGGTAAATTTGTGTGTTGAAATATTCCTTTACAGGACGATGTTATACATGCCAAAAGCCAGGGTGAGGGTAGGGATGGAGTAGAAGGAGCCAGAGGGAAGAACCCACAGTGTGACGTGTGGGTTACTCATGAGGGATGGGGTGCCTCGATAAACTTGAGGTTATTAAAGACTTCTTGCTCAGCTTCAGGGGGTTCAGCTGAAAAGAGTTTGCTGTTTTATACTGTCATAGTCCAGCTTCTGGAAGGACACATAAAAAGACAGGAGTAGGATTTCAGGTCAGATTTTCAAAGACGCATATAGACGTATCATGGCAAAGACTCATGCTCTAGTGCAGCCCAAGCTCAGTCCAGCTTTGCGAGGGACATTAAGCCCTTTCAGCAAATCTCTTTAGGCTTAGCAAAGTGCTGACTTCCCCACGCTGAACACCACAGAACCCTTCAAAGTTCAGGCAGAATGAATGCAAAAGTCTCTGCATCTGCCTGTGCAGATCCATCCTGTGAGACCCAAAGTCTTTCTTGACGGTCATGTTAAATGTCAGTGAAATTTGACAAGTTTTCATTAAGTTTGTTGGATTTGGGGTTTTCACCTGCTAACCTTTTTCTGTAGTCCCGTCTCCAATAGCATTTGAGTTCCTTTATTGATATAAGGATGTACCTGAAAGGATGCTTCATTTTTAGTCAAGCTCTTCAGGCTTGTCTGAATTCCTAGAAAATATAGGGCCAAAATTCTTTTTTTTTTTTTTTTTTTTCCCCTATTTTGTGAAAGTGGTATTTTTCCTCTTATGTCTGAAGTAGAGGGGTGTGTTACAGACAAATTTGCCTTAGGCTTTGGGCCAGAGTTGATGAGACTTCACGAAGATACAGGAACAGGCACATGGATAGAAAAAAAAGAAAGCCTGGGAAAAATTAAAATGACAAGCCTGGTTAGGGAGCAGAGATAACTGGTGATGTAGTAAAATTAATTACAGTCTGGGTTGAAGGAATTGTGTGCCTAAGACAAAATTAAAGAAAAAAAAAAACAACAAAAAACCCCCAAAACCAAATAACAGCAATGAGATTATGAACCCTTTCATCATTTCTATATGGTATAACTCCAAATCCCTATTTATTATGACATTTATTATGGCATTTATTTCTATAGGATGAGAGGTATAGGTGGCAAATAAAGGAGGCAAGTGTCCAGTCATAAGGCTTTTCTCTGAGCTTCTGATTCTGCATTGAGTATCCATACTAAGAGAGAAATTACACCAAAAACCACTGCCAAACTTCGGTGGACTAGGAACTGTGAAAGAAAACCCTCACTGATTCAGGAAAGTTGCGTGATGCAACACTCCAAGGGTGATTATGAGTACTTACCGGTTATGCAGTTTCACAGGGTTTTTTAGATTATTTTTTTTTCAATCGTTATGCATTTGCCAGGACTTGAATTTATTCCAGTTTTGTACCTACTGAAATGTGGGAAATGTTGAGTGATAATTCGCTGATCAACATTATAAAGATGATGGCAACAGCAAAAGCCAGATACACCACAAGATTGTTCCAAGATTTCGGAACACACCAGTGAAGAGTGTTTGCAAGGGATTTCTTTAATATATATCAAAGAAGTGTGATTTAGGGGGATGGGGACAGGAGGTATATGCTACCCGACATACGAGATTTCACTTATTGAGTGACATAATAGAAGACAACCAGGGTCTGAGGCTGCAGTGGGGAACAGTGAAGTTCCTGGGAGCATGAGGTGAACCTAGGAAGCACCTTTGGTAGATAGCACAGCTGCTTTTCAAAGCAATCCTAAATTTTCGATTTTCAAAGAAGAAAAGGCAACTAGAGTAACCATTTCATTAGCAAATATTCCAAAAAGAAAAATAAAATGACTGAGAATTTTTTATTTTTGAAACGGGAAGCTGAAATCCTTTTCGACGGAGGGTAATTTGGAGAGATATTTATCATATCCTATTTTTGTTCTTTCTTCTTTTTTTCTTGCCCCATCTTTTTTTTTTTTCTTTCACATTCTT